CATCCATCTTTGCCCCATCCGTGCTCGTAGCAGACGACATAAATGCTCATGTCGCACAAGAATCATCTAACGCGATATCGGTTGACATATGCAGCGTCCTCGACCCTCTCAACCTGCGAACTAGTGTGTGTCAGCCACTCGACGTTGCCATTAAGGGCCATTCAAGAAACTTGTTCGTACGGTGTAAAGACACAACGGCCTTAGGGCTGGGATGGTTGGGTTGCTGAATAACATAGTCTGGGACATTTATTTTGCGTAATCATTAAAAAAAGTATCATAGTTTTGAAACGCCACCTTTGTGAGTGCGAGAATACTTTGTTCAAGTCAAAAGTTCATGCGTTATGACAGTTTTTCGCTAACGTATCTTAGCTCGAGGTATTTTTGCATTCATTGCTAGAAGTGTTAATTCAATTTTCTGTGCGTTTGGGCCAGTTCAGCTGTCGAATACTTCCGGAGTTCACACTGTACATGCTCAGCATATACATATAACTCGTGCTTGCCAACCAACAATCATTCGTTGCTTTGGCTATGGCATTTACTTGTCGCATGCAGAATTTTCAAAGTGATATTTACTCCGTAATATATACTCCATGAGTATAAGTTTTCAATAATTATTAAGTTTGACCGTTTCAAGGTGTGGGTATGATCATTGTTCAATTGACCACGATGTTCACAGGAATCATTGAAGAGATTGGGACAGTGGTTTCCCGCGTCGAGAAAGATGGCATGAAGATGTGGGATGGGAGCGTTGCCAGGGGCACGGTCTTGGTTGTTCGTTTGAAAGTCGCTCTCGAGGGTGCGTACATTGGCTGTAGTATTGCCATCAACGGGACGTGCCTCACTGCTACGGATATCGACTTCGACAACGGACACGTCTCCTTTGGTTGCGCCCCCGAAACGTACGCATACTGTCCATGCTGAATGTAGGCATCATGTTGTCGATGTGTAGGTTGCGGTTGACGAATTTGCGCGTGCTGGAGGCTGGTGATAGAGTCAACGTGGAACGTGCTATGGGCGCACAAGACCGAAACAGCGGACATTTTGTGCAAGGACATGTCGATGGAACGGGCAAGATCTTGGTACTCAACGAGATAGATTCTACTTTCTAACTGCACATCTGCCAGGAAATGACCAAGGAAGGCGAGTCCCTCTGGGTAAAAATCCAAGCGGAGCCGTCGCTGATGGCATATGTCATTCCCAAGGGCTTTATTGCCGTCGACGGCACAAGTCTCACCGTGTGCAAGGTAAAATGACGTCTCATTTCATTCGCTTTTTCAAGATACTGAACACTGACCAGGTGAACAACCGTGAAGGGTGGTTCAACGTCATGCTGATCACGCACACGCAGCAAAGCATCGTGTTGCCGACCAAATCTGTGGGAGACCTCGTCAACTTGGAGGTACATGACCATGCGAGCTCAAGCTCGACTGATTCTTGACCAGGGCGACGTGATTGGAAAGTACGCGGCCAAGTCCACGCATGCGTTTAGCGAGCGATTGGAATCCCTGGAGAAGACGCAGCGCAACACGTTATTGGCTGCAGGGATTGTGGGTGGGGCCATCGGTGCCGCCGTTGCGCTCATTGCGACCCAGCGCTAAAGATGAACGCAATGCATACACTATCAAACGTTCTATTGTTTTTGACCCCATACGAGATTCTAATGCGGTAGTGGCGGAAGTCGTGAAATGTCGAGCTCGTCCGAGATCGAGCTGAGCGGATCGAGGGACCCGGATTTGTTGCCCGCCAGTATAGGCAGCGGATGAAACAGTGTCGTGTCCCCGTTGTCGTCGTCGTCCATGACTTGAGTGCAGACATCTTTTCGCCAACTCGACATGACGGCGTGGTGTCCCTTGGTGTGATGAGACAAGGCTTTGGTTGAGTTCTTGGACTTGTGCGCTGCCTTGTCCATGTGCGACTTGTCGCGCTTGAAGTGGAGTACGTCCGTGTCGCTCACGACCTTCTTGGCTGAGATGTCGTTGGATTTCCTAACGTTCGGTGCCGACACCTTCTTCTTGATCGTTGTGTTGAGATCGTGATGTCGCACGAGGGCGAGCTTGCCGCCACCGATGGATGCACCGGCCGCGGTTGCCTTTATAGCCTGTGTGGCCTTCTTCTTTTTCTTGTCATACTCATCCATACTCGTCGGCACCGCGCCCAAATAACTCTCGAGAGACATGCCTTCGATATCCTCGACCGCTCCATGCTTTTTTGTCGGGGCAGCCTTCTTGCCCGGTTTTTCCTTTGGTGCCAGATGCTTACCGGTCAAGTAGTCGCTTAATGACAGCCCAGCGACAGTCGTATTTGTTTCTGTGGCCCCAGAATCGGACTCGTAGTCGTCTTCGTATGGGTCATCTTCTGTGTCTGCGTCGTTGGACCCTCCGTGCATCGGACAAATCGGAATTGTGCTGATGGATTCCGCCATTAGATCATCGTCGTCATCATCTTTTGTCATGACCATCGCGTTATCGTGCTTGAGCTTGGCCTCCTTCTTCTCGAGAAGCTCCGACGTTTCCTTCATTGACTGCACCGTGTACTCCTTCTTTGTGTTGAAGTATTCGTCGAGGGAGAGTCCAGCCTCCTGGTTCGGGTCACTGGGCGGTTCTGCCTCCTTCTTCCCCATGGCGGTAGGCTTCGCACCTCCCCCATGCTTCTTGCGGAGGACCATACGAGGCAACGCCTCGTACCGCTGTTGATTGAAACAAAAATAGCCCACTTACCACATTCCTCGCTGCGAGCAGAAATCAGTCAAAATAGCTTCGTTTTGCCACCTCAATGGCTTTGGGAGTTCTGTTAGTATTACTGATATTCTATTTGGTGCTCTCCCATTCAAACAAGTACAAAAACCCTCCTGAACAGAGTCTGTACGATTATAGTAATCCTACTAGTACTTAACCCAAATAAACGGGTATATTTCGACTGTTGGGTTTCGTGCCGTAACGGCTACGGTTTCACTCAAGTCAACTTGAGTTGTCGGACGGAGATGGAGATCAATAGTTAAACTGTGACAGGGCAATGGCGAACGCTTGGAATGGCGTGAGTGGGTGTTTGAAGTCGAGGTGGAACAGCTTGTCCGAAACCTTGCCGAACTGGAGCACGATGCCTTTGGCGGCGTTTCCCCGTGCGATCAGTTGAAAGTTCTTGACGGAAGGAATCGAGACCCGCCCATTAAAGTTGAGGCGGTAACAACCCTTTTCGTACTCGGGTTCTTTGTTTTCCAACACCGTGAGGTGGTCCGTCCCTCGCTTGTCGGCCTTGTGTAAATCCAAGAGCGTGCTGAACGACTCTGGCTTGGCGCCCTGGGCAAGAACTTCATTTTGACTGGACAGCGGTGGACACACAACCGTCAACTTGCGTGGCTACAAAAGCCGTCATTCATATGTATCATATCCGTACGAGCGATGGCTGCAATGAGAAGTACCTTGGTGCTCGACACCTTAGTGTCGAAGTGGATTGCTCCCAATTCACTTCGTTCCGCCTGGGCGCTCACCATGACGTTTTCGTGCTTGCCAAAATTGGACCTCAATTTCCCGACGTAGTTGCCACTCTTCTTGGTCAGTTTTTGGCCCGCATACCCACCGCGGGACATGTCAAAGATGTGGTAGTTGGACGTGCGATTGTGGAGTTGTTTTTGGGCAAGGAGCACGAGTTTGTTCTAACCGCGATGTCAACCGCCACCGTCCAAATGAGTTGTTTACCTTCAGAAAAAATTGGTACTGTGGGGCGAATTTGTTGGTCCCGTTGTTGCAGCGCACAATCGAACCCTTTACCATGTGAGCTATGTCCAAAAAGACTCGAAACTCCTCACCTCTGCTAGGATCGATCCGGGTAAGGTCCGCAACGGACTGAATTCCACATCCGCGCTCTGGTTGCTAGACGTCGCAGACTCCAACGATTTCGTATCGAGCAAAGCAAGCTGTGCCTTGGTCTTAGGAGGATCACGTAGCTGCGACAAAGCGTCACAGTTGCTCGTATTGTTTGGCTGGTCCTTCAACTTAGCATCGGACGAATCGCTTTCATCACGACTTCCATCTTTCGACGCCGCATGGAGCCACTCGGAGCACGCAACGCTCACATGATTGGTGTCATCCTATGCCCGTGAGCCTGAAGCGACCTTCTTAAACGAGCACAAGGCCATACCTGGCTTTCGCTGTCGCTGCCACTACCCTCGTCGTGCTCACTGTCGCTCGGATGTCCATCCTTTGCACCAGCCTTGTCTCTCTCGTCGTCCTCTTCGTCAAACGAAAAAGGAATGACTTGGTTCTCCCCTTGGTCTGTCGCCGTCAGTGCCGACGCTTGCCAGGCTAAGAATCGTATTGGGATGGGGTTGTGCTCATGTAAGGTGCAATGCTGGGTACCTGGTTTTTGAGACTTGGCTTGACTGCTTGCAGAGGTCATCTTGCGCTCGTCCTCCTTGAAGAACCCCTTCTGATTGCTGTGACGGGAGCTCGACAGCGGCGCTGCTCGCTGTGCCATGGCTTGACAATTTGCAAATTTAAGGTTGAGGGGTCAGCGATGGCGACCAGAATTTACACATGTAACGAACGATCCATCATTTCCATTGGAGAAGCTATCTTATGGGATGAGTATAAATAGCCTCAACGCTCGCACCCACGACATGCTGACGGGTTGTAATCGCATTCCGACGATCGATCGTTTGTGTTGTTGCTCATGCCAGCCATCAAATCCCGCCCGGTGGATGCAGAAGATGCGGCGCTGGCTGCGCGGAAGCGTCGGTTTCGGGCCGCACAAAGCATGACGGTTGATGGAGGCATCGAAAGCTCATTTGTGTCGCGATTTGGCGCCATCGACGAGCGATTTTGGGCGCCATTCTACGACGCATGTGCGGCAGGACCAAAGTGGGTGGCCCATCGCCCATTGATGATATCGTACTCGTTGCCACAGACTGTCAACGCCAAAGACACATTTGTACGACCAGAAAGGGTTCATGCAGGTGTCACATTGGGGCGTTAGGGGGAAACCATGATGACCCTGGCTGCCATCCATGGCCGGACGCAAGTCGTGACGGTGTTACTCGGGATCAAGGGGGATCCGTGGATGTTTAACAACAAGGTGCGAGCGGACTCACCTCGCCTGCAATGCCCAAGCATTGTCGAGACACGAATGACGTTGGTGCGTGCAGGGGTGGAGCGCCGTGACTGCTGCGGCAGTGTACAATCACACGGCCTTGATCAAGCTGTTTGCGTCCCAAAATGTTCGGTTGGTCCTGAAAATGACAGAGTTGTGATCTCAAGTCGTTCATGCAGGCTGGATATGCCAGACAATCGACTGGTTCGATGTCGGATTCGAGGGAGTGTGCCAACACGAATGACGTAGGGGTACACACCGGCCCATTTCGCCGTCCAAGTGAATAACATCGACATGCTTCGCCTGCTGTACGAGCATCGGGCGAACCTGGCAGTAGCAGCAAAGAACGTACGAACAACGTGAGAAGAAATGAAATCGTCGATGGTGTGCGAAGGGCTATACATTGCTGCACACGGCAGCGGAAGCCGCGTCCGAAGACTGCCTCGAGTTCCTTTTGGCGAAGCGGTTGGTTTCGGTCGATGCCCGAGACACCAGCGTACGTCGTTCTTCTGTCGACTTTGAACGAGATATGACCGTAAAACGGATGGATTGATTCATGCGATAGCATGAAACTCCAAGTCATAAAGCCGCCCGCCATAACCATAGCCGCATATTGGAGATTTTGTGCGTACATGGCTCATCGTTGAAGACCGAGAACTTGGACGTACGTTCGCGTCGACTTGAGGACACTCTATTGACTTGGTTGATTGCAGCAAGACTGTGTGGCAGACGTGTACTTGGACAACATGCACGTGACTCGTCCGATGGAGTTGAAGTAACGCGATGTATCAATCGACCGTGGGGATGCATGGTCGAACGATGGTTGTTGCTAGGCAGTGGACGTAGATTCATGTGGCAACGCGATCGGAGGCATATCAGAAATGCCTCTACCAGGTTCGTCTAGACTTTCCAGAGGAGGGTGAGGTAGTAGAGATGTCCTGGAGCTGCCCTCGAGATCCGTGAGCGAAGCCGATGGCGCGATGCTCGTGTTGCACAACTACTGTAGAGGAGGACCAAGTTATTCGGATAACAAGTTGTCCGGATAAACGGCAACCTTTCGCGTTGGCGTTCCAGTTGCGGGCACCAGCATGGACCACAAGGTCGTGACCGACTACACGCGTGTATCTGCATGTGAGCACGTCAAGGTATGAAAAATTGCACAGTCTCCTTGTTTAACGCGCCACATTAGGTTTTCGTCCGCGCGCGTCCCTGTGCTGATGGATCGGAACCTTTCGACGGCATGTTCGAGCGCAAGCGCGAGACACCAAAGAACATCACAATCAAGGTACGATCTCCCTAGCTCGGGGAAATTGAGCGGAAGGATTGTATGTAGGACGTGGACAGGTCACAATACGGCGAGCACGCGTTCAGTTTTGACAACGTACGGGTCCTGGGTGATGATGGATGCGACGACATGATGACCTTGTATTAGATCTTCTGGACGGAAACTACCCAAGAGGAAGTTTTTGAGTCGGTAAAGAATTTCTCCTTGCGGTAATTCGTTCACGGCTGAGAGTGTGACTTTAGTGCAGCAAACCTTTGGTCGACTACGCATTGCGAGGCATAAACAGTTGCTGCTTTGCCTACGGTCAGACTGGGTCTGGCAAGACTTACAGGTACAGGCGAGTACTCGTGTAGCGTGGCTTCTACAAGTTGCGTGTGGTGCAGCATCTTTGGGGAAACGGGGGAAAAGGACGGAATGATTCCACGGGCGGCAGACTACTTGTTTGAAATGATCGAGGCAAATTCGAACACTGAGAAGCAAAACAAACCGGTAAGTGCTTCGACTAGAACACAAGGCCATCCCACCGCATGACTTGGACATGGCATAGGTGTACACACTGGTCGTGAGCTTCTTGGAAATCTACTGCGACCGCATTCGCGACTTGGGCCGCGAGTACGTCGGCACCTCGTTCATATTTGACTCTTCACATGTCCCCAGGTATGTCTTGTCCACAAATCGAGCCGTGTCGCTCCAGCAAAGCAGTGGCTCTGACTGGTATTTGCGCAATGTAAGCTGAATTTCTCTCTCGTCATCCTTGGGCGCCTTGACAATTTTCTGCAGAAAATGATGAAGCGGACCGACTCGAGTGCAAGGTGGAAGACAGCCCTGATTCAAATGACGAAATCTCACGATATATGGCCGTAGTATGCACTCGACGGGCTCTGGGAAGGACGAGCCGCGCTTTGACTACGAGCGAGGTTTGCGTGTCGGCTGACTTTGTACGAATGCGTGGCCAACCGATGGATGGTGTTGTAGAAAACTTGGAGATTCATGAAGATGCGCAGGGCATGGTGTACGTCAAGGATCTGTCCATGATTGAAGTTTCGAATCGCGAGGAGGTATGTGTGGTGGGGGCTCCCACCAGCGTCACTTCGTTCGATCGCAACGTCGTAGGTGAACGCGATCGTCCAAATGGGGCTCACGCTGCGAGCGACCCACGAAACCAAGATGAACTCAGTCTCATCGCGATCCCACACGGTCTTTACGATTCACATCTTTCAGCACGGTCCGACCGCGCGTGATGGCGATATCAGTGCTCTTAATGTTGCTGATAGATGTGGCATTGGGACAAGTCATGTGCGGCATGATGAATCTCGTCGACTTGGCAGGGTACGAGCACACGAAACAATGGCCGGACCATACTATCGTTGGGCGTAGGTCAGAGCGCTTAAAGAAGAGCGAGTCGGACGGCCAGAGGCTCAAGGAAGCGCTCCACATCAACTCGAGCTTAAGTGCTGTGGGGAAAGTCGTGATGAGTTTAGACCCCGAGAGCGGGTTCAATTACATTCCGTACCGCGATTCGAAACTCACGCGACTGCTGCAAAACAGCATCGGTACGACCATCGATGGATACAAATAGTCGGCCAACGCCGCTTGCCTCGATGCCGTGCTCAGGTGGCAACTCGTACACGTTGTTAATTGCCACGATCCACCCGATGAAAGAGCACTACGAGGAGTGCCTGAACACGATGCAATTCGCCAACCGGTGCCGTATGGTCCAAAACCAGGTGCGTTCCATGAGTTGGTTCGGGTGGCGCTCAAGTGTGAGGGCAGCCGCGCGTGAACTATATCAATCAGTCGGGCGGGGATAAGGACAAGCGCATTCGAAAGCTCCTCGACGAGATCGCCATGCTCAATCGAAAGCTCGAGCACATCAAGAGCGAGCAGAACCAACGCATGAGCAATGTCTTGCGAGAACTCGGCTACGATGTCAAAGAGTACACGGAGGACGGGAACGTTCGTCTGATGGTACTTCGTAATGTTTCACGCCCATGAGACTGTGACAAGAAACTTGCAGGACGGGACGCTCTTGATGGCTCAAAGCCCCGACGCCGTGCTCGACATGCAGGGCAACCCGATCACGTACTCTCTCGGAGACGAAGCCACGATGGGTCGACGGAGCTCGTTCGACACGGGCCGCAACCTGGAAATGCGTCGAGCCATCGGTGAGTTGAAACATGGCAGCAGCAATGAATCAAAGTTTTGAACCTAGATTTCCTACGGAAGGAGCGTGACCATATGAAGCAAAAAGCCGACGACGTAAAGAACGTTGTGTTGGCATCGCAGGTTCGTTCTAGCCACCGCTGCTCCTCGAGAAGCTCTCATGGGCGCACAGGTAGAGCTAAAGCGCGAGAAGGACGAGCTGCAGCGGCAATTGCAGCAACACAAGAAAGAAATAGCGCGGCTCGAGAGCGTTGTGCAAGAAAAGGACTTGGCAATGGACAGGATCCAAGCTGCAGGCAACTCAAAGCACAAAGAAGAAATCCAGCACATCTTGGCCCACACGAGCGACCTAAAAAAACACTTGCACGTGCAATTCCAGGAAGCCAAAGCCGGCTGCACATTGTCGTCGATGGCGGCATCGGCGCAACAATCCAATCTCGCGGAGCAGTTTCAACAACGAGCGTTGGCGCTGGAAAAGTGTAAACAAGAAGACATTGCCCTCGTCAAGCAGCAGTACGATTGTCTCCTCACTCGAAAGCGAGCCGAGTATGAAGAACTCTCCACGATGTGGAGGGACAAACATGCACAAACCAGCCATCTCTGCGACGTGCGTGTCTCGCCCTAAGCGCACGGCTGAACCGTTCGTGTAGACGCTAAAGGAAGAGATGGCTGACTTGTACGCCTACACAAGTCGACTTTTCGATGTTGCCCAAAACCACGGCACCCACCGGTACCCTGAGTTTACCGCCGCGGAAGCTTCAATCCTATTCGTGTGGCTGTAGCGGCTCGGATGGACCGTGGCCCAAGGCCATTTTGACCAACCCCAATAAACTCCGCACCTTCAAAGCCCTCTTAGGATCGGATCCTGCCGTGCGAGCGCGCGTCGCGAGCGATAAGAAAGTGCCCTTGAAGGGACCAATGAGCCCAACCGCAGCATCACGACCGGTGTCGGCGCCAGTGCGCCGCCCCATGAGTGCCGGGTTTGCCACGGCGTTACGAGGTCGAGTCGTGCAACACACCAGCCATGCCATGGACCGACCTGACGAAGAGTTTCCCGAGCGCACCGAGGACGACGTGGATCTGTTGGTACACGTACTTGGTTGCGCAAGCCAACCTTCACCTTTGCTTAGTCTCTTGATGAACTTCGCCAGCAAGTACGGCGACAGCGCAAGGTGCCAATCAAAAGTGAAGACACAGCACTCGCCACGTTGAAAGCCCGCTTGGATGATGAGGTTGGCGCAATGAGCGAATCGTGCTACAACTGACGTATGTAGATACAAAAGAATCGATCGTTGCGAGCGACGAATGCAGCACTAAAGCGCCAACAGGACAAGATCGCAGCGTCGCATCAGTCGTCGAGCAAGGGGCATCGACGAGTGGGCAATCAGGCGACCAAAGGTCACGTTAAAGATGTTCGAGATGAAGACTAGCCAGCATCTTCCAACAACTTGTCTGAATTGAAAACAAGGGACGCGAAAATGGTTTCCCGTTGAAGAAAAATGACCAAAGAACGAAATATAACGTGTCAGAGCGCGAGGAGCTGAGGTTGCTCTGGTGGGATCAGCTGCCTAGCAACTGCGTGCCTCTGTCGCAGGCAGCTCAGCATTGGGTTTCAAACGAATACCGGAAAGCGCGACGGTCGTGTCTTGGATGCTCTGGAGCAGGTTCATGAGGGCAATGGTCGGATTAGCCACCGTGTTGAATCTGGTCACGTAGAAATCTTCGTCAAATGTAAATTGGCACAGCACGTCCATGATCATGACTTTCCCGAGAAGCTTCTGGACAAGCGGTTCGTTGTCGAGTAGATGGGGGAACAAGACGAGGATCGTCGTCCGCGAGATGCGCAAGTGCAGCTTTGCGTGGGCTTCCAGCATCACGTCGGGTTGGGTCGACACGATGTGGCTAAAGTGGCATTCCATGCGCACCGAGTGAAAGAGCGTCGCGTAGAGCTGCCCTTGCTCAAACACTTTATCGGATCCGACGCTGTCCATGAACACCATGTCGTCGCGCATGGCCCCACGGACATAGTCATGCTGGTTGACGTATGCCGCGTCCCGAGCTGACGTCGCGTAACCATTTGCAAACACACGAAAGTACTCGGACGCGGCTTTTGACTCTGGTGCAAACGTACGCAAGTTCTTGGGCAGCGTGAACGCGATCGTTTCGAGACGGCCTTCCATGCGGGCAACTTCACGCCGCAACCGTAACACTTCCTCCACAAGCCCAGTCTCGTACTGGAGTTGCTCGGCGCGGTACCGTCGCTGGTTTACTTTGCTCTGATGACGTCGTCGTGCCTTCTTGTCCACAATATTCGTCGCCGGAGTGAGCGGCGGCAGCGCTGGTCTGACTTGGTCGCGGCCGCGGGCCCCTTGACTCATTCCGATCCAGGCAACTCTTTAGTGCGTGCCCGGAAAAATTGGAGGAAACTTCCGCTGAAACACGTGTTGCACGTGGCGTTGCCAAGAGAAAAGCGCGTTTAACGCAAATATTGCACCCAACCACATCATTTAACGTGTTTTCTGTGTTTTTTCGAAACGTTTGGCTGGAAACCTTCCTCGCCGCTGCCGACCATGGCAACGTCAGGACTGCGGGGCGAGATCACTTGGCGTGTTAAATAATGTACTTGCTACGATGTTAATCCCTGCTTCCAATAGTCACAGGCACAAGTTCGGCGTTGTCTTTGACCAGACAGCCCTCGACAACGATCGCTGTGTCCTCCGCCGAGTTGAGCAGGTCCATGAGCGCCACAACTGCGCTGGCGAACGTATTTATCTTCTTGATCTTGAATGCCGCATCAAAGGTGAATTGGCACAATACCGGCAACGCCAGCACACGTCCAATCAGCTTTTGAACGATCGGTTCGTTGTGCAGCAAGTGAGGGAACAGCGCTTCTATTGTCCTGCGAGAAATGCGCAAGTGCATGACAGCTTGACCTTCGAGCATAACTTGGGGGTGGCATGTCACAACACAGCTTCTGTCCCACGACACCAGTATAGACTGAAACATGGTGGTGTACAGGTCCCATTGGGTGAAGAGCTTTCCCAGACCATTGGCGTTCATGAATTCCAAATCGGAGTGCATCACGCTGCAGACGAAATCCCGTTGGTGCGAATGAAGGGGATCCGTGGAGCGCTTCGTGAATCCTTGAGCGAAGAGGCGGAAATACTCCTTCGCGATGTTGTGCTCTGGGTCAAATGAACGCAAATTCTTAGGAACCGAGACTCGCAGCGAGCCAACGCGTCCTTCTAAACGCGCAACATCCGTAGTGAGATTGGACACGGCACCATTAAGTCGCTCCATGAGTTCGAGTTGCTCCGCTCGATATCGTCTTTGGTTCATTTTGCTTTGTAGTCGTCGGAGTTCGAGTTTGTCGTCAGGAACTTTCTTCACGTTCTTCGCCTTGGCACGGCGCTTTGCCGGTGCAGACATCGACCATAGATCGATGGCTGGTTTAGGTACGATTCCAACACCATGACTTTGGTCAGGCTTCGCCGCCGGGATGTCTTGGTCGCGAGCGAGGCGAATAGCCATCGGAACTTCCGCGGCTGCGATAGTTCCTGGTGGATGGATGGGCTCTTGTCGCCAGGGGGAACGAATTGCGTTTTTATGTAATCATGGCGCTAAACACGTTTTATCCTGAACCGAACGCGTTTTAGGATAACTCTGGCCTCAAACATAACATATTTCGAGCAACTCATTCCACATAGTTTGATCAAGGCATTTAAGAGGTGGTGAGACATTATGAAATATTGTAAATCACCATGTCTTCCAAACGATTAATATGAGCGAAGTTTTTATCAACTCCACCTTGCTTCGTGAATCGCCCGCCGTCCAGGAAAAGACTGCTACCATGACATTGTGCCCCCCGTGCTGTGTTGTTGTTGCAACAATGAATGCAGTAGCATCGGAGGATGCCGGTCTGAAGAAATACACAAGTTGCACGACAAAGCTTTCCCAACCGTGTTGGCGTTGATTAGCCCCAATTCGGAGTTCGACAGGTTTCAGGGCACACGTGGCTAGTGCCTCCATTTCACCTTTGCGTGGTATAAACACGTCAGAGCCAAGGATCGTGACAAAGGTTTCGCACACAAACAACGTGTTGGTGAAGTTCGAGTTTGAACGAAGGGCAATCGAGAAAGACACCAAGTTGAGCGGGTGGATGCCGCGGTTGCGAATGCAGTCAAGGTTCATTTCGGACTCAAAGCAGTATCATTGCATCTTGACGGAGGTGAAAGTGTCTTGAGTCCTACTAATTTAGGTCGTATCAGGCAAAATTTGCACAGCTGGTCAAAGTCCATAAAGAGAGGCGTCCAGTGTGTTGCATGGAGCCTGCTCGTGCACATAAGGTTGCAACGACTAGTTCTCTGCACTTGGTAAGGAGTACGAGGTTCCCTACACTGAAGGGGGAATACTACGTCGAACTGCTTTTATGGGTACTCTGAGACTGCAACTATCTCTGCGGATTCGGTCATTTGAAAGCCTCCAATGACAGATAGCGTGTCTTCCACGCTGCCAAAGAGATTCACAAGGGCAAATGTCGTGTTGACATGCGTGCCCAGCTCTTGGACGATGCCTTTGTGGTCAAAAATGAAGCGCAATTGCGTGGGTAAATGGAGCTCTTTGCCAATGAGTCGTTGGATGAGCGGCTCGTCGTTGAGAAGACGGGGAAACAACAGCTGGATCGACTTGCGAGATATCCGCAGGTACAGTGTCGTGTCCAAGTGAACAATGACGTTGGGTGAAAAGGACGTCAAATGCACGTTGTGGAGCTCCATAGAGAACACTTCGAATGTGTTCATGTAAATCACCCATTGCTCAATGAGCTTGGCGCGCCCCACGCATCCCATTATGACAAGGTCTTGGCTCACTGCGTTCGTCAAAAAACCGAACTGCGATTTGTGTTGAACCGTGGTGATGTCGAGGTCGTATCCATGGGAAAATAACCGAATGTACTCCTCGGCAACTTTACACTCGAGTTCAAACGTTCGAAGTGCTGGAGGAATGGTGAGTCGCAAGGTTTCCAGGCGTCCTTCCATGCGAGCCACATCGATGCATAGTTGGCCAACAACTTGGTTGAGAAGGTCCGTTGAGCGCTTTTGTTCAGCTCGGTACCGCCGCTGATTGAGTTTGCCTTGGTAACGTCGCGTGGCTTTTTTCAGTGAAACTTTCTTGGCGGCGGCTAGTTTTGCCATTTCGATGTTGATGATCACTTGAGGGGTCGACATGGCGTAGATGAGGGCGGTCTCTAAGTCGAAGGCAGCGCGCACGGTCGGTTTTGGTGGGCGAAATGGCGAGCAATCGTGACTTTTTATGGTGGCGCCTGTGCAAGTTTGAAACAACTTCTTGTATGGGCCAATCGCAGCGCAGGATCTTGACTAATGGGCCGCGGAAATGGACCTGGTCTTGCTCCCGCTCAAAATAATACCGACGAACACCAACGCGACATAACAGTATCCCATATTAATCTTCAATAAAATATTCGAAGCATGCAAGTAGTAT